CGGGCGTCAATAAAGGTCACCTATCAACTTAGAGTAGTTGCCTAAAGATTACTTGGTGCGACTATAGACGACCGTTAAATGAAATGATGAATTTTTGAAGGATTTTGAAAACAGAAAAAATGATAGTCATGCCGGCCCAGCATCATCAACATTGAAAAATGCCCCGGCATGAAGTGGTTAATGAACAAAAAAATTCTAGCTGCGGCTTAAACTTGGCTGACAAATCAATATGCAAGTCTTGACCTGTATTGTGGAGACCAGGCTGGAACTTCTGGAGCTGGACGTCGTCACTAAGACGATCTTCTGCTGGCCGGATCCCGCGGTGGAGGAGGGGCCGGCCGGAGCGGAGGCCAGTCTCTGGAAGCTGGGCCGTGTGATGATGGTAGGGGTGCGAGGGGGACCCCCCAGGGGGGTGACGGGGGTCGTAGGGGTGCGCGGTCCCAACCCCGAGAAACTCACCGAGCGGCCCTAGGGCGGCAAAAAAAACCAATTCACTAGAGTTGACGTGAAACACACGACTACGTATTTAGGCTCTGTACGCTACACTGTTAGGCGCTATACGACTGGATCCCACAAAATGAGTCTTAAGACCATTTCCTTCAGGAATAATTAACTTGCAATACAAAGAGTGCAAAGTGATCCTCATTTCAACATATCACTCAGTTTCGCAGCCTGATGAGAATGGGCATTATGAGGGTGAAAAATGTTGAGGATTCCCAGTAAATTTCAACGTGCAAGATTCTTTTAAAGACCTTTGAACTCAAAAGTGGCTCTGGTGACTGGCGGCTCATTTTGCTAGGCTGGGTCATAAATAATTGCCACAGCCGGGACCGTCTGCCAAGTCACGGCACTGGCTCAATCCTAGCCTCGGAAATCCTTCTCAAATGACTGATGACATAACCAAACAAAAATGCTCCAAGCTTCTGCCTCAGTGCTCAACCACTTGACGTTGGTGTGCCAAGAGATGTAACTGCCCATAAGAAAATGAGTTTTAACTCGCGATAATGAACCCTGGCAAACGGAAGAGACTGAAGATGTATGCAGAGGCAAGCACCGTTATACTCACGTTTCCCCGGCCAACTGAAAAAAAAAATGGTTCCAAGTGAGCCAAGTCTATTTTCCCCACACAGTTGGTTTTGTAAGAGCTCCTGTATAAACCTGCCTACCTGCGAGAGGTTCAGCGTCGGCCTGGCCTGGGAGGATGAAGTCTGGGTGCCAGACGAGGCGGGCTGCGTTCGCAGCTTGATTACCTGCGTGTACAGCGCTGTGCCCAGAAAGCCAAACTCGCTTTTGTAGGCGTCTAGGTCATCCGGCGTGGGGCGCGTCTGCTTGAGGTAGGGTGCGCAGTGTTTCTGGGGTGAAAAACACACACAAACTACAGTACAAGATCAAAGAATACTTGGCAACAGGCCAAAATGGTGAAGCAACAAACCTGTAACTTTTATACCTTCAAAGTCTTAACTTTACAAGTGCAAGTATAACATAAAAGCTTGAAGAATACGGGCGATTCATAATAGTGTGCCTCCAAGAGTTTGCAACTCGTTGACCAATCACAGTGCTTTGTCGACAGATTTGGCATGTTGTGATTGGCCAACGCATTGCAAACTCTTGGAGGCGCACTTTTGTGAATCGCCCGTATTCCTCCTACATTACTCAATCTGCCATACAGCATACTCCGTTCGAAGTCTTGCATACAAATGGCTACAAGCTCGAGTCACAGTCCTTTTTTTTTGGCCTTACCAAAACGAGCTGCATGAGGTGGTCAATGGCACTCTTGTCTACACTGCTGATGATGGGGGACTCAGAAGACAGTCTAACCCTATCGCTGATGGAAGTCAACTTGCAAAGCACCATGCTCTTCAGGATCTGAAATGAATAAAGAAAATATCAGTAAGAGGGTTTGCATGGCTGCCATGTTGCAGGCCAGTGCTTTGGTTCAACAGGGGTATGCACAAAGGAGTTTTCCCTGTTGGAACAAAAGAACTGCCCTTCAAGATGGCTACCATGCAAAGCCTCTATAGATAGGTCTAAAAACAAAACCCCTCGAAAACTGTCATGCGTTGTGTGAAGTTGGAGTGATTCGGTGCATGTCTGTAATCATTGCGATCATCGTAATCAACGATGCGCGTACATCTTTTACCTCAGCAGTCGTGGACATACTTTGATTTTTGGCTTTAGAATTTGGTGAAGCTGTTACTGGAACTGTCGGTTAATTGCTTTCCAAAAACGAGCCTCTGAAGCTAGGGACTCAAACTTTTGACATCCTATTACAAGGGCAGACATCTTGCACCCCGTTCACGTCAGGGTGCGGCACGGTCTTTCAAGGGAATTTGGCATGGATGGCCACGACAAGCTCTTTCCCAACTCCTTTTGGACTGACCTCTGTTCCCAACTCGCACAGTCCAGACAGCGCCCCGTACACCGCGGCCATGGTGGACTTCTCGTCGCACAGACAGTGGTCGAATGTCTTGGAAATGCGCAACTGCAGGTTGTTGGTGGTCGTGCTGAACTTCCTGGAACAGGGCAAAGCAGCAGGGAGGCCAAGTTTACATAAAAGCATAAACACTCACTCCAGAAGTTAGACTAGAGGACAAGGAAGTATCCAGGAAATAATCCCCAGCGGTTTAGAGGGTCCCACAGCAGCAGAGGGTCTATGGTAAACATTGGTGTTTGCCGAAGGGTATCCCTTATCCATATGCTGCCTGGTTTAATTTGAAGTTGCATGACGTATTCCTGGGGCACTTTCAAGATTTTCCATCTTCAGAATTTCATAACTTCATTTGGACGTTTACACCCACACGAATGACTGTCTGGTGGCTACTCTAATCTGACAGACAACATCTATTGACGCCCGAGTATTTCAGCCAGGCCTGCTGCCTTGTAAAGAGAGCCCACATTGTGCGGTGTTACATAATTTTCTTTTGTTCCCGACACTAGCCAAGTGCGCTGCTGGCATCTTTCAAATGCGGACCAGATTAGCGTGGAGTGGTATTGTATCGCTCAACTCTGGAGCGCTTTTGTCCCCGTGTTGAATGCCACAAACAGTGGTATAATCTTTCAAAACAATGACGGATTTCCTCCGCTATTGACAACTGAAAAAATGTTAGCAATTCCCAGCAGCTCGGTCTTTTGTTCTGAGTACGGTCTTTAGTTACAAGGCCCAGCTCTTTTGTCAGATTTTGGGCAGCCCGACTATGCGTATAAACCCAAGGAGTCTGGTTTCGGAAATCCTGGCGGCAAGTGGTTAATGGTAAACGCAGGATTTTCCAGATTTCAAAAGAGATTGTTTTAGAAAAGCCTAAAATCTGGAAAATTCCGGATGAAAGATCCTAAAATCAGGGAAAATCCTGACAAATTTCACCTCTGTTACACACATTGGCACCTTCGTTGTGGGGACCATAAACGTGGACCAATGGTTATGGGGATGACTCCGACACGGACAATATTTTCTCCCACAACTTGGTCTCAGATTTCCTGAAAATGGAACACGGTCCTCTTCAAAGCAGGGCTGGCCAATGCAAGTGTGCATATTTTCATTATAAAACAACAGAGGACAGATACACAGAGGCAACAAGATTTTTACTGTCCTCAGGTGTCAGTCCTTTGATCAAATCTGTCTTCAGTGGCAAGTGCCTGTGCTTGGCCCATGGGAGAGAGTTACATCGCTATTCTTGAATTAAACTCGTGTGCACAAATACGGCGTGCTGGTTCCAAGCAATATGGCTGCCGGATAGACAATCGGCGTTTCTTGTTCACCTACAGGGCTTCTCCAGAGCTTGGGAGGTTCCCCCCCCCCAAAGTTTCTTACTTGCAAATGCTGGACATGAGTCTGGAGGCAAAGTCTCGCAGAGCCCAGTGGTTTTCAACGTCCGGCCGTAGGCAGAGCTGCTTGCTGACGATGCATGTCATGACGGCCGGCACCAACTCGTGGAGCTGAAAGTACAAGACGAGGCCTGCACTTTTACCGAGATCATCCAAGCAAAACAGTCCGGGGAAAAACTGCCCCTGCATTAGCCTAACTAGCTACATTAAACCGTAACAATCCCACACTAAGGTCACTCACCGACATGGTTAAGAGGCAACAGTAACCCTCGCTCCATGTATTTTTGTCTGATAAACCTTATGGGATGAGCTTTACGGTAAGGGTTCGTCTTCCATGGATGTGGCAATGAATGCTGCTGCATCAAATGGAATGCTACAGCTAGAATAAATGACCTTCTGTTCGTTTGGGATCAAGAACGCCCAAGAGAAGCTGAGACCAGGTTGGATACTGCTGAACTCCACCGCTCCATGAAAACACTCTGTCTTTTTTGTTTGCATTGTTGTGACTATAGCCTAGATGCCACTTTTATTTAGATACAAGTTTTAGACCAAACAGATACGACGTGCAGTTATACAAAGGTGGATTTTTAAGTTATTGGAATTCTGGTCACGAAATAGACTTTGTCTGTTCATGTATGCTGCTGCGTTGCATGTTCCACGGGTCTGTTCACAAAACATGGATGCTCCATAAAATTTAGCTCGATGGGGGTGGTTGAGTCCTCCAGACAAACAGTACGACTGACAAGCTTACGTATTTCTCCAAGTACAGGGTGGAGTTGTCCATCAAGGCTTTGACCATGCGCATCAGGTAGATGAGCAGCACCAGGTTGCTCTGCACCACGTTGACCTTCACCCCCTCCGAGATGAAGGTGCTAAAGCGCGGTAGCATCTGGTAGAGGCCGGGGTCGCTGGTCAAACTATTCAAGGCCTCCTGGAGAAGACAAGGGGTGGGGAAGGGGGGTCAAGACGGGATGATATCATCCGAAAATGAGGTCGCCAGTCAGCCAAATTCCAGGAACAGACACTGAGTAAGGCCAGTAAACGTTGGCTGTGGGTTGGTTTATGTGTCACTGACCACACCGGACCTCAGTGAATATGACGTTCTCAACACCCATCTGTTTGCTCCACAACTCTTGACTGATCATCGCCTGGATCTCAAGGTCCAAACATTTAACCCGGGATCCAGAAACTTCTGCCAGTGGAAATATTCAGGGTCACAGGAGTTAATGTAATCGCTTGGTTAAAATCAAAAGTGCCACAGTCGTAAGTTCCAGAAGCACTTTTGCATCTGTTATCACTTCCATATGTCCCGATCGACAAACTGCGCGACAAATTTCTGAACTTTTCTCTTGCAAAGCAGGAGAAGTTAGGTACTCACCGCTCTTCTTGTTTCTGATGACCCCACGCAAGCCTCGGTGATCTCCTTGTAGTACAGCTGCTGCTCCTGTCGAGAAAAGCGGTTCAGGCACATCACAGAATCGTTAACAAAATGTGGCAACTCGCAATTTTCTAAAAGTAAGCAAATCACTATTTTGGTTTTGTTTTTGACTCAACATTTATTTCTGTTTTGCAATGTACATATCAAATTATACACAAGGTCAATAAATGAAAGATTTATGACCACAAGAGGGAAAGTTAAATAAGACCAAGAGACATTGAAATAAAAGGGGCAAAATACGCGGGCATATTCAGAAGACAAAGTCTTATACAGAAATGCCTTATTGAGACAACAAAAAAGAACCAGACAAGGAAGACTGACAACAGATTATCGGTACATGGAAATAAAACAGTGCAGTCAAAACAAAACAAAGACGAATTAACAGACTGAGATGTAACAAAAATGGGAATTACCAAACACTAGGAACATTAGAAAAACAAAAGAAAGATTAGAATGATAAAAGAAAAGGAGCTACCTCAGATAATCAGAAAGGAGGTGTTTTTGTAGTTGCTCTTAAAACATCCCACCTTTTCTATCAAGATTGACTGAAATGTCCCTCAAATTATTTTGAAGATGTATCGGAGAGTTTCTTAGAAGTCACTTCCTTGTATTATCAAGAAAAAGGTGGGATTGGTTGAAATCGACCAAACATCCAGAACAAAGGTTGTAACACAATGTCAGTAAAATGTTGTGCCTTTCCAAGGGCTGTTTTGTTTTGGTCAACTAGGAATGAGTTCTTTCATGAACAGTAACGACTGTTTCAATCTTGCACTTGGTAAGAACGTTTCAAACCTGAACATAGTCCATAGACCTCTTAACTCTTGAATTTTATTGGTCAGAAAAATCCAGAGAGATCGCACCCCAAGAGAAGAAATTTAAGTGGGAGGAAAACTGAAGAGGCACTGACCACGGACAGTTCATGGGTGACCACAGGCTTGAGTTTGACGGACTCGGCCACGAGGGCGCCCTTCCCTTTGAGGCCCGGGGGTGCCAGCTTGCCCCCTTCCTCTCCTGATTTGCCCCCCGCCTGGTCCTTGAAGGAGGGCTTCTTGGGCACCAGGGTTTCCGTGGCGTCTGATTTCTGTAGATCCCGACCGACTAAAACGGAGAACAAAGAGATCATAAAACCTCGTCTTGTTTGGGAAACTTTGACAGTACGGATTTCGGGGGATTGAGCCCTTTCCAATTAAAAAAATTTACAAAGGAACTGGATTGTTCCCACTAACCTGGGGGAGGATTTTCTGGAATGGCAGGTTGAATACCCTCGATGCTTAACCAATGAGCTGGGGAAAAAATACAGAAAAATATACCACAATGATCTTCATTGGAAATTATGCCTCCTGCTGCGATAAATATTTAACTTCTAGGTCAGGGATAGCCTTAACCACTTTGCGCCGGGGGCATTTATGAAAGTTGATGATGCTGGGACGGGATAATTTTCTTTTTTTTCCTGTTTTCAACATTCTTTAAAAATTCATATCTTCATTTACTGGACACTTACACCCACACGAAGGACTGTCTGGTTGCTACTCTAATCTGACAGACAACATCTATTGACGCTGGAGTATTTCCGCCAGGCCTGCTGCCTTGTAAAAAGAGCCCAAATTGTGTGATGTTATGTAATTTTCTTTTGTTCACAAACCTGGCACAGTGCGCAGCTGACCTCTTTTCAGTAGGGGCCAGATTAACGTGCAGTGGCTCATTGCTGCGGTGGTGGAGCGTTTTTGTCCCCAGTGGTAATCCGCTCGCAATAAATCCCCAAAACCGTGGTATACTGTTTCAAAACAAGGCTGGATTATCTCCACTATTGAGAGTGAAAAAATGTCGGTAATGTCCAGCAGCCTGGTCTTTTGTTCAGAGTACGGTCTTTTGTTACAAAGCCAAGTTTCCTTTGTCCGATTTCGGAGACCCCGAAATACGTGTCCAGTACCGGCAACCCCGGTGGCAAGTGGTTAAACATTGTGTTCCAAAATGATAACGACTGGCTACAGCAATGTTCCAATAACACCTTTGTGACTTCACGGCCATGTGGGCAAACATAGGACACATAAGTGTCACACCTCCTAAGAGTACCAGGTGCTTCCAAGCTTGAGTGGTTCTCAAGTTGGAATGCTGAATTTGAGCATGCGCATGACGTTACAAACCCACTTGTTGTTGGACCACAAATGTGTAGAATAAACATTACCTTGGGGACCCCAAAAAAGTGTTGAGGACACTCAAAAGTCTTCAAACTCGGTCCAAATTCTCCTATAAAGGAACCCTTCCTCAAAACTGCACACAGTACCTACCCAGGTACCTTCTTTTAAAAAAAACCAAAAAACCAAAACTAGTGTACCTCAAATGAAATGAGAATGCTCCTAATTTTGAGTTGCTACTTGAACCAACAAACCTTTCAGGCTGACCTCCAGGGGAACTTTAGGCAAAGGTGTGCTGATGATCTCAGACAGCTCCACTTCTTTCTCTTCGATGAAATGCAGTTCGCGACCACCGCCGCTGGCAAATCGGAAGGGTATAAACTCGGGCGTATTGAACCCGTACAAAGGCTGTGATAAACAAAATGAACATGGCATGAACGATACTTCCACTAAACCCGAGACTTAATGACGCCACGCCTTGATTACACACGCGCTTTCCCATGCAGCTTGATAAATTGCGTCCCATCTCACTGCCATAGCAAAGCACACATTAACAAAAGTGTGCCATCGTTATGCTAGAGGTCTATTCCAGGGGAATTTTTGCTAGAAACCTTCCCAAATCCTACGGAATCCTTTGTTCTGCAGGGAACTAATTGCACAGCCTTTGCACATCAACTTCCGAGGGACATCAGACCTTTATCTTTTTAGTAATCTTGTTTTACTTCCCAAATTCACTAATAAAACTGTCCAAACCTCATCTATGGATTTTAAAGAGTGAAGGTTCCTTTGAATAATAAAAAAAGAAAGAAATGGAAACGACCCATTCCATGAGTAATTTCAGAGGAAGCCATCTTTTTGGGGGGGGGTTCACGAAATCAAATCTTAAGCGTTATTGTTACCTCCACATTTTCAACCTTGAGGGCGTCATCAAAGTCTGACGTTGACATCTTCCTTCTCTTGCTCTGTCTAGCAAACTTTGCCGATTCCTGTCAAAATGGAATTAAAACAAAAAACAAGCAAACAAACTGTTAGGAAATCCTCAGGTCATCCAAGAGATATCTGACATACAAAAGTGTTCTGCAATGTTGTCAGTCTTTCTGAGGGGTGCATTTTTCATTTCTCAAATGCGACCTGGTCTAATTTTCTTGATTACCTGGATGAGATTCTTGAGTCGGAAGGTGACATCTTCGGCCAGGGCGAGCGCAGCTTCATCAGGGAGATGAGAGACACCGATGGACTCGGCGATGACTTTGACGGACTCCTGGGCAAGACTGGCTTTCGGTTTCTTCAGAGACTTGGCCGCCATTGTTTAACTGAAAACAACTTCTACTTCCAGTAGCTTGTAAGCACTGACAAATGAGCAGTAATATGACAGCATTAATCCCATGTTGTCAGAAAGCCAGAGGGGTGCCTTAGCATCTTCTGGACACCCTGTGGGCCAATTTAGATACACTGTCTTGTTACACAAATGAAGTGCATATTGTGCGACATTTGGTCAAATATATTTTCTTGGCAACACAGCTGCAGCAGGTACTACATGGAAACAACTGCCATGAAATTGCTGAATTCCCCAACGGGACTGAGTGTGCTTTGTTTAGTTACTATTCAGTGGGACTTGAGAGCAGGTAATCCAAGATTTATATGCAACCATACGTATGAATCCAAACCACGGTGGTTGTGTTATTGTGCATGCCCTATGTGTATTAGACTTGCGTTGCAGCCGTTCATTGGTATATCAACGGTAAAAACATTGCCAACTTGTGTATATTGCGGTAGTCAAGCAGTTACAGCATAATGGTTTGTGATGAATGGGGTGTGGGTTTGAATCCCGGGTCGAAATTGTGGGCGGGGTTTTTTTTTTCTAAAGGAACATAAAGCCCGAATGTTGTAGGAGCCTAATTTCACACATGAAGTTTTGATGGCTGGTTGAGCATCTAGATGTCATGCATTGTGCATGGTTGTGAACGGTGGTTTGGCTTCATACGTGTGATTGCATATATAGCTCGGTAATCCTGGCACTGGCAGGGCTATGCCGGTGGATTACAATTTATTTCTTAACCAAAAAATCCAAATATCTTCCTTATCATTTTATATAAATTTACACTGAATACCAATTACATTGCTAGTTGTTTGTGATCACGGTGATTTGATCATTCATGTTTCAGGAGGATTTTTATTTCACAGAAAAAAGTAGAAAAAAAATGGAGCTATTAAAGCACACACAAAGCAAAATAAAACGAGGTTCATTACCTTTAGCAGCCTGTTCCTATTATAAGGGAACAAATTCTACTTTTCCGACACAACTTATCTAAACAAGTTATTTCTTGGTTAATCAAAATTTACCTATACTAGGCCTATCAGAATTGAGTAATGGTTCTTTAAGGTCAAAATGTTAGTTAGAGCTTGCTCTATGGTTTGAGGAAGTGGACTTTGTTTCCTTATTACAGGAACAGGGTGCTAATGGAATAATTCCTGTGCAGTCACTGCCCTTATCAAACACTTTCTTCTAGAGTTATTTTGGGAATGAATAGCCAAGTTGTTTATAAGAATACTGCATTTTATTTGAATCATTTTTACTACGGCATTTATACAAAAAGGTATTTCATGAGACCTCTTGAGCATTCCTTCTGATGAAATAGTGCATTTTGTTTGTTATGAACTTAACTGCCCTATGGTGGACATGCTGTTGGCCAGTCTTAGCCAAATTCGTACAAAGACTTTGAAAACTGATGTTTTTGACTTTTGAGAGACAAAAGAAAATTACAAACATTGCATGGATAATGGATCCGAGTTGGTATTGGGTCTGAGTTGGTTTGGGATGTTTGGGTCCGAGTTGACTCGAAACCGGCCGGGCTACCCCTTAAACTGTGGGGTCTGACATCTGCCCCGTGGAAGCGGGGTTGATGTCGGACCCGACAGTTCTGGGTCACTCGTCGTGCGCGTTCACGCCGCCTCGGTACAAATTTGTTGCAGTCGGCCCAGCCCCATCCCCAACTGCCCAAGTCTAGTCTTCGCATTCCAGGCGGGTATAATTCATTTGTGTACTACAAATATTATGTTATTGGACTGGAAAAAATTAACGCCATGCTTTTATCATGAGCTTACCCTGGCCAGTCATGATTATGTTGTCTCAGTCAAATTGTCTCAGTCAAAATTTCGTCGCATCCCCAGCGCGCCGCCATTTTCCAGCAGGAGTAAATCCTGAACATGCTGGAGATTATGCGATACTGTACGTGATTTTGTGACGTCTGGGAGTTTGACCTATCGACCGAAGCTCCTTTCTCGAATCGAACGCAGGAGTGCGTCATGACAAGCTGAGCACCAGTCTCAATCAATTAACTGGATAAGTCTATTATTTAGCAGGGATTTTATTACTACATTCAATTTTGTTCTATTAAATATAGTAAAAATTTAGATCATTTTGGACAACAATAGAGATATAAGTGCTGGAAAATCACTGAAAACTTTTTTTCGGACAAACAGGTATTTATCTTAATTTTTCAAGACGTTAACACATAACGTTTCGAATAATTCTTCCCCTTAATTTGGAACAGCTCAATCGGATAGACGCGTAACTACAACAATGATAAAGCAGCAGGTGTTGGTGTATCTCGAGTGATAACTTCAGGAGCGGCATAACTTAGTAGTACTAGTGGGCTACATGTGGCAATAAATCCAGGTGAGTTTTCAGTAACTGAAAATTCTTGGAAGCCTTCTTTTCAGTCAGTTAAGCGTAGTATAACATGGCAAGATCTCTGAACCTCGTAGTCAGAGTTTAGTCGTGGAGGAATGCATGAGGTCTGGCCCGAAGAATAGTTGTAAGATCTTAATGTGGCGTTTGAGCATGTGATTTCAGAGCTGCATTTAGTATCTAACTTTCTAAGCTTAAAGTAACACTTGACGTTACATAATTATCAAACCTTTTTTTTTTAATAAAAAGAATCAATTGTTCAACGTTTACTCCCAAGGTCTTTTGTAGCCAAGTCAAGCTCGAATCCTCCCACCACCATGGTGCTCTTCCTAAACATCAACATCGGCCAGCGGGTGGAGGTGTACTACAAGGGTCAGATCTTTGCAGGGACCGTCAAGTACAAGGGGGGACTGTCCAACGTCAAGGGGGACTGGGTGGGAGTTGACCTGGACGAGCCCGGTGAGGAACAGATCAGAGATCTTGATGCTCAGTTTGAGGAACATGAGATGTGGCTCAATCTTTTCATGCCCAAAATATGTGATCTCACAAAATGCTTTATGTGTTGAAAATTGTCATATTAAGATTTTTCATACTGCGAGGAAACTCCGGCTGTTGTACCCAGAATTGGTTTACTTTTTTTTCCATCCCCCAAAATTCCACATTGAAAACTGTGAACGGATAGCATTTTATTTCTAAAGGCTTTAGTTGTAAAGTTGAGCATGTATAGAAACTGCAGATGGAAATTTATTCCATTGTTTATTCATATCTGATCATCCAACAGCGCATTTAGCACCAGTTACAGGAAAATGAGTGAAGACAATGTTCAGGTTTAGAGGTGAGGGGAAAACCCCGGATAAATGTTTCGGGGAAAATCCATGAACTCAGATAGGGATGGAAGAACCCAATGCACATGTGCACTGAGCCGGATTTCAACCTGGGCCCCAGACGTGGAAGGAAAGGAAAGAAACACAGCGCCAACCTGACTCCCCTCATGAAGGCCTCTCTCTCAAACCATACATTTTCACAGCCGGTTTTTTTACAACATGCACACAGCAGAGTCACAAGTTGAATCTGCACTGCCCCCAAGAAAAAAATCTTGAGATTTGTTTGAATTTTTTCAACTATTTCAGTTTTGAATCTTTATGAAAACCTTTACTGAACAGGTCGACAAAGTGAAGAAAATCAAAGAAATCGGAGAAAGATTCTGTTAGGATGGAAACGTCGGGCCTTCCACGTTTTGTGAAAATTGAGGAAAGATTTAAGGGAACAATATTGAAAAACAAAGCTTGAAAATAAAATCAAGTAACTTTTGTTTTACTTTTCCTCCACAGTTGGAAAGCATAGTGGGATCTTCAAGGGCAGAGAGTACTTCACGTGCACACCAAAGCATGGGATATTCATCCATCCATCAAGGATAAGATTCACTCCTCTAAAAAGAAAGTAAGCCCATGCAAAGTATCCTGTGGCCTGTTGTCACAACATAAAGATGCTTTAAAAAATTGCATACTTTTATGTTTCGGCACAAATGTTCTAGCACAAACCATTTTTGGAGCTTTCTCCTGAAAAAGGAGTTTATACCATCTTGTTCTTTTTGCCAGCATATTTGACACATACAGGAGTGTTAGTCCGAGCTCCTACGTAGATGAGACTTTGTTCAGGTCATCATCAGGTAGGTCAAAAGTGGTGAGAATGAGAGATGAGAATTGAAGTTGTTGGTGGGATGGAGATAATTTTGATAAGAATGCTTGCGGTGTTAGTGGTGATGAAGGGTGTGATAACAGTGATGTTAAAGATGAGATGACGGTGATTGGGATAATTTCAATAACAGTGATGACATGAGTATAAAGATGACGTAACTATGGTAACGACAAAGAATGACGGCAACTATAATTACACTTGAGATTGATGTGGAAGTTCTCAGAGAGTAATTATATCTCTACAAATATTAGGCCTTGTCCAGAGAACTTGGCCGTGTCTTGAAATGACACTCAGTCCATGCAGATGGCTGCAGTCACTTCCAGTTAGAGTTATGTGTAATTTCAGGCCACATCCGAGTGATTCAGACAAGGCCATACGTCCAGTTCTGTATGAAATATTCCAATGTACAAGGCACTTTGCTTTTTCTTTTTTTGTTTCAGTGCCTAGAGCGACTGGCCCATATGACCCGGTGTCTGTGTCAGACACGTTTACCAGGCTGGCATCAGCGGGATTTGAAAGTGAGAAATGTTTGTGAACTGCAGTCTGAGTAGCTTTTGGAAAACAAGAACCTAAATCAGTTTATTTTATAAATTCACTTCCAACTTGAACTATGTACAGCAAATATGTGCAAGTATCTCGCTTTTGATTTCTCGGCTGAAGTATCTGCTCCTTAAGAACTGAAGTGTTTTCAGTAGAAGTCAAAGTGCTCTCCAAGAATGGTGATTATTCCTATAGAAATGTCCAAACAATTCTATTCATAAATTAACATTTTGAATATTTGTAATTTGTTTTTGTCTGAAGATCCAAGTGCTTCCTGGCACGCCGGCAAGAAATGCCTTTCCAAGTCCGATTCCTTCAGCTGCAGTCCCACGCCGTCTTTCAATCTCAGTCACTCCGTCGGAAGGGCCTTCACGCCAAAGAAGCCGCAGCGGCCCAAGTCGGCCATGGAACTCTCCAGCAGGGGTGGCAATTGGGGCGTGGATGGAGGTGGGCGGTGCACCTCCCCACTGCGGAGGTTCCATAGCCGGGCTGACTCCCCATTCATCAGCCGGCCGGCCGTTCCCAAGACCCACATGCCTGCCGAGGCCCTGCGGCTGCAGGACATGCGAGGCTGGGCCTGTACGCCCAAGCCACGCGAGTGGGCACTTTGATGATGAAGAAAACACAAACTCAGGAGAAACTTCTTCAGGTGGACAAATAGCTAGATGAAACACTGGTACCTAGATTATTTCAGCCAAGGAACTGGTTCCAAATTGTTGAAGTTTTGGAAACAGTGACATGGTTTTACACTAACATAACACAACTGGCATACAAGTATTAATGTTGCTTATTCTGTTTCACTAGTCTGTGCCAAAAGAGTGACACTAGACACCAAATGATTACTTTTCAATGTGAAAAATAGTTTTCATAAAAATCATCTTGTTCCATTTTACTTACTTTCTTTCTGAAGGTTTTTTCCTCCCTCAAAAATATCATTAAGTGTGCAAGGTCTGGCCCCGTTATTTGAGGCACTCTCGTCATCAAATTATGTTAATACAGCTTGAAACTTGGAGTACCAAACGAAAGCCACGAGTCCATTTCATTAAGCTGCTGTTCCCAAATATGCTCAACAGAGACGAACCTGCTAAGCGTAATCGGATTACCGGCCCAAAATGCAATGTGGTATAGACAGTGTGACTGGTATTTGGCATGTTTCTTCTTAGTGCAAAATACAGGAGCTTCCAAAGATATGGAGAACAGTTCAGCAGGTGGGGAACTGGACTTCCAATACAACAGACAAAACAAGAGAGTTACGTTCAGCACTGAAGGTTCTGGAATACCGTTAACTGTAAAAGGAAAATCATGTTCAACAATATTGAACCAAAAGTTCACAACTGTGTGGCACTAAACTTGATTTAATATAAATAAAACTTCAAGGTAAATATCTTAAGCTGGTCAAGTTAACTTTGACAACGTACGTGTTAGTCTTGGTTTCAAGATGTTGATGTTCGTGTTGACCTGCCATCACAAGAGGGCACTATTATGACGAACCACAATCGCCCACAAACCGTGAGGGTGACCTAAACAGTTTGTCGTGATAATGCACATCAACAGCTATCTTGAATTGAAACCAAGACTACATACATGTATAACTGTATGATTGTACTTTTCAGTAAAAGCTGTGGAACGACCTAAAATAGGGACGGCGACCATTTAGACCCGGTTTGAAAAGGCCCCCCCCGGTAGCCCGACCTGTATAATGCCTGCCCGGTATTCAGGCTACTCCAGGCCGGTATCAGGCCTGTCTGCACATTGGCATTTCAAAGTCCCTGATGGAAGGCTTCCCCCACCATGCTTCCACAGATGAATAGGGGTCTAAGCGGATTAGTGTAAACATTGTATAGAGCTGAAGGATTAAAAACCACAAACAGGTTCCTTCTGGGATAGATTACATGTACCAGTGACTTGCAAACAATAGACCCCAGGATGGAGAAGTTCGAGATCAACAACCAGTCCAGCATCCCAGGTCGGTAGCCAGGCTGGTATGAAAGGGGTTTTTGCAACAGGGCGAGCTTACTGGGGAGGGGCCCTTTTCAAACCGGGTCTAAATGACGAAATGACCAAATAACGTACAAGCAATCAACTAAAACGGCTTTAAAATACGGTGAAGTCATCTTTTGAAACTTCACAACAGTACTGACACGTTGCCGTTAACACGGTTTTCTGTGACACATTCATACGAAGCGGTACAGGAAAAATATCAAGAAATCGTAGTTAAATTTCTTCTTGTCAATGAGTGTGTGCAGACATTCTACTCCCTGCATACAGATGTTTGCTTTTGTAATGCTGAAGTTTCTACTGCCACAAAAAAAAAAAAAAAAAACCAACACATTTTGAAATTGTAGAGTGTGTCGTTTTTATATTTTATACATTTTAAATATTTGTAGACTGATGGAGAAATAAAACAGAAATTAAACATCGGTTGGAGTTGGTTGGTTGGACTTTGCTGGAATGATCTCAGTAATAATAAGAAAATGCAGAAGAGGGAAAAAAATAAAGATTTTGGGTCTTGGTACGGAGAAGAGTTTTGTAACTGTAATAAAAAAAAATGAACATTAATAAAGCGCCATACATCCACTTAACAACAGATGCTCAAGACGCTACAAACAAAAAAAACAAAAAGAAAAGCGTTGTAAGCAAGATTGTAGAAGCATGTTTTTGTGACAGCCAGTCCAAAAATTCCTTCCATTTCTCCCTCTACAGTACAGACTGATAGGACAACTTAGTGCAGATTGCATCTTTGCTTGGAGGTTTGACAACGTTCTTCAAGACCACTTTTGGGGTTGTACAGGTACGATGCTGAACCATGAGGAAACTGAAGCGATCTTCGAGGATTTTCTTCTGGGATCCTTACAAGGATATTTTCCAAGGGAGGATTTTCTTCTGGGATCCTTACAAGGATATTTTCCAAGGGAGGATTTTCTTCTGGGATCCTTACAAGGATATTTTCCAGGGAGGAGACATTTCCATTGTCAAGTTTCAAAAATAAAATATCAACGAAGCCAATACTAACGTTGATCTTCACCTACAATCACACTTTATCTACTGAGACTATCTGAAGGTAATCCATTTTTATTACCCAAACTTTTTAAGGTCTTAAAACTTCTAAAATGAAATGCTCACCACTTCGCTGCTCAAACCTCAAACCTATACACCCTGGCGTTGATGTTGACATGTTACTTCAAGGAATAAATCCTCACTTATTCAAATAAATATTGCTCAAAAAGAGCAGTTAGGCAAAGTCTTGCAAGATAGGACTTCAGAGGTTTGAGGTACGGCCAAATACAAACGTTTCAGGTTACAAAAAGGAACTTCTCTTTCCTATACTTTATTGGAATTCGGACAAAATACTGATATACAATTGCAAGCACCGATGTGAACTTCGAACTACAGAAGCGGGAGGGCCTGACGTTTCGAACCTAGCAGAAACTTTGCCTTTGAGAAAGATTCTGCTCGGATTGAAATGCCTGTCCCTCCTACTTTTGTGATTTGTATTTTAGGTCACCGTAGCCAGCAAGCGGTTGTGTTATATAATTCTGAACATCTAAACTACACTACTAAAGCAATGAACCCAAGTTGCATGCACAGTGAGCATTGCCAACACTAAGGAAATGTAATAAAGCGATTTATTTCCAATCTGGTGACCAGATCCCACAGAATGAGTCTTGAGGCCTTTTTGGGGGGTACTTTTGTTATCATTTGAGTAAGACTGAGTAAACTCAGCTCTTTGCTCTGATGGATCACTCGGTTCCCTCTCCTGATGAATACGAACATAACGCAGGTGAAAAGTGTTATGAGTTCCCATTGATTTGAATCATGGAAGATTACCTTTAAAGGTGAATAACTCGGAAGACGGTTGGACGCCTTGTGACCCACTGGGTCACAAAACGTCCAGAGTATCTTCTGTCTGGTAATATTTGAATAGCACAAAAAGATTGCGGAAGAGCCTACACTAAATACTAACGCAAGAGACACAAAAACCGGGGGAACGACATGGAGTCATACGTTCAATTTTGTTTCTTCTCGGTCAAAAGGCCGTCGTGTAACGAGCTGACGTCGTTAGTGAACAAGTCCATGACTAACAAGCCATTTTCGTCAAACCAACAGCCTACCGATTTGGTGAGTGAAGCCTCGCGCTCAGCCATGGTGGTGTTGTCCTTGTACATCATGACCAACGTGTACATGTCATCAAATCTGGAAGAGAAAAAAACTCACAATGAAATTTCTTTTTCAGGCATTTTTTTGCGGAGTAGATCTGAGTGCAGAACTCAAAACCCCACGGTGAATTTCACGGCGTGGCTGGGTACAAGCTCAGAAAATGTGTGGTTAGCACAGACAGGTTACCCGCCAAGACATCATTCTATGTGCACGTGTGCCATCTCGTGATCGGTGCATACCATAAATTTCACTTAAAGCGATAGCCTTCTCTCGCCAGCTAATTTGAAATGCTCCTTGAGCCACAGAGAGTGAATCTGCTGTTGGAACTAGGGATGAGTCAATTTGAATGATTTACTTATTCCACTTCAATTCGATCGCATATCCGAATATTTAGTCGTACTGACCGGCAGATTGTTGATGAACAAACCATGTACAAAATCAGTCGCAATAACACACACAACTGTACTTTATGATCAATATAATAGCTTCTCACATCTAAGAGTATCTCCAGCCACAATTTAGCAAGATTTAAGAGATGAACAAGACTTCTTGCCCTGTTTCTATTCCTTTTAAATTGTTTAATGAATACTTTACTTTTTGAATTGTTGTAAGCTTTCAGTCGCTTTTCATTTGAATCTGCTTGAAACAAGCCTCCATAGTGCAAGTTTTCTCATTTAAAACAAAAGAAAATTTTCCCTTTTCATGAATTTTACATTCGAATATTCAAATTCGGAAAATAATATTCAAATAGCCGATAATCGATCGAATACGCAGTTATTCAAATATTCGGCACAGTCCTAGTTGGAACCCCTTCCCCCAGTATGACTTTTTCCTGACCTCTTCATGTACGAGTCGATGGTGAAGACGTTGTCCGGGTCCACTCCGGCTGGGTCCTTCTGATGGACGACCAGGAAGTGGTTGCGCTCAATGAAGGAGGTGTAGAGAGTGAGCACGCCCATCGTGGTGAAATACGTGCCAGCAGTTAAGGTTCCCACAATTCAATTTTGTTTCCCTTTTTTTCTTGAATAAAATTATCCTTTCCGAGTTGTGAAAGCCTGAACGCGATGGGAAACTTTCAAAATGAAGCATTTAAACCACTCCGGAGAATAGTTTGAAAAAGGATATGATAGGACGCACGTGGCAAGGACTACTCTGGATTCCGGGAAGGGGTAGAGGTAATCGTAGAGGAGTGCCGTCAAGGCAAACATACACGCTATCGTGCACATGGCCAATCGCTTGTCAATCATACCATGATTTTCTGTGTACTTGAAGTGGGACGTCATGATCTACAAGGTGAAAATAAACAATAGATAACTAATTGATATGGGACAACTCAACTTTACGCTGAGAACAAACCCCACCCCCGAACCCTCCCTCCCCCCCAAAAAATGGATTAGGCCAAGTTAACGGCTGACAGTTGAGTGAAAGTTGAACACAAACCGTTCTGACTGCATCATCAAGTGCATTCTTGACAGCAGATCCGTTCCATTTGTCAATCTTCACCGGTTTGCTGGTCGACTGTAAAATTGTTGACATGGTACAAACATTGAATTAAATTAAAAGAAAAGAAAATTAAATTAAAAGAAAGAAAACACGCAATTTCTTCAAGCTTCAATTTTACCAGAGACCTCCGATTTTTAATCAATAGGACCAAGAAGATATTACATAAATTCAAGGTTCCTGAGAAGTGGGTGGATTTATCAGCAGATTATCGGGAAGGCCTAACAATCAATGAGATGTGACCAATTGTTTTTCACCCTTCCCTCTTTCTTTCAATGTCCCAGGTTACTGACAATAGTGACATGACTCACAGTATACTGCTACAGGCCAACAAACATGAGAAACTGACAACCAGGACCATGACAACTACCATGACTACTGGCTTGACATTCTTGAGGGATATGTATGACAAAATTTCCCAGTGCATGCTGAATATGTTGAATTAATTTCAGAACAAAACTTATTACGTTAACTAAGTAAAGACTTGAAAAGGTTGCATTCTTATCACTGCAATAACACTGAATAGTTGCGCACAAACACAACAAAAAGTGAAACGCATGACCTTAGGCCTTATGCTAGGGACGTGCATAAATGAGACTCTTGCGAGAGGGCCCTGTCGTTAGTCATGTCAGTCCAAATCCACACTCACGTTTGTAAATTGCTTTGCATTACACATATACAAAAATGCCCCGAACATCTCGAAATATCCCTACTTTAAGTCAGTATTTAAAAAACAGAAAAAATAGGCCTAGGCCCATGAGGCCTAACTTTGTTAGTCATGCTAGCCTAACGTTATATAGGCTTAGCTTAGGGCCTAGTTGAAAAATTTACGAAAAATGAGCCCCAAATTGCCTATAGGTCTAGTATGCAAATTATTTCTGATTTTTTAACAGGTGTGATCACGTTTGTTTACAAACAGTCCGTATTGTTTATGAAAATATCGTTTATTTACTAGGACCCACTCTATAAATTAAGAATTTTAGCTCAAATTTAAAAATATAACTGGAAAATTGCAGCACACAACTCACGTTTTCCTTGTCCGAGGCGGCCATGTTTTCTTCTAAGTACACGTAGCTTTAACACGTGGTGGCGCTGTAAAGCACAATTTGCATAATACGCACCCTACAACTTTGGGCCAATAACAGCCCTTAGTGACTTCCATAAAAACCCACTCCACAACCTGTGCAAGTTTTTTAAAAAAACGTACATATTTCAGATAAATCCTGATCTCTTTTTTCATTGCCAGATTAAATGCTTATGTCCCTATTAAATACTGATATAATGCAATTGTGAATGTGACAGACGAATACGAAAAAATATACTCATACAATTCGAACAAATTCTTTTATTTACACGTCATTAACTCAATCTCATGTGTAAACGAAGCACCCAAATCTTTCATAAACTGTCTTTAACGATCATACACAGGACTTTTTTCAAAATATTTATGTAGCTCTGAGGTATAATGGAAGTTAGATACATGTACACAGAGATTTACAAAAGTACATAATGTTTACAACAGGTAAAGCCAATCAAAAAGAAGGTACAGTCTATGTACAAATAAACATCTAGTTACGTCTTTCAGAAAATTACTTGGAAGTTTCATGAAATTCAGTTACTGAATGACATTACAGAGTATTTATTCTGAAATGTTTCTGCACGATTACTGTTTATTTTACATGCTTCTTTCCGGAAATGGCGTGGAAGCAAATTTACACATCAAAAAGTGAATATGATGCTTGAATCATAAGAACATGAATCTATTTGTGACTGCTTAGACCATTTAAGGTTGGCAAAGAAAATTCAAATCAAGAAATTGACATAATGAAAAGTTGAACTTGCATAAAAATCTGCATCTGTGCAATAATCCTTAATTCAACACAAACGAGGCACGATATTGGTAAAATGTTACTTTGCGGTTTGCACCTGTTTTGGGCACACATCCAATTTTAGCCAGAAAAGATAAAGATGAACCCTGGCCGATAAAAAAGATGTTCCACAACACACTAAGCTCTCAAAATGTCAAGTATTGCTTACAAAGAACATGAAATATAACGTGAATAAATATATAATTGGGTTTAAATACTTGTTGAGGTTTACAAGATAGGCTTAAACATGGTTTCCAAACGCACAGCCAATTGTCATAATGAAAAAGGTTTCTTTGAAAAACGAAGTTGTATTTCCCTACTCCTTCAAACCCAAATTCGTACACAAGTTAGCAGAATTGAAGCTAAGCATCTTGTAGAATGAGCAGAAAGAGGCTGCTGCAACGAAGTGAACTGAAATATTCTGAAGAAAAATAACTTCCTTTGGCTGGGGGGAGATCGATTTCCAGAAAGCTCACAATGAGCAGCCAATCATTTCAACAGCTGCAGCATTACAACAAACGTTTCAGTTATACATAATTTGTTTGAAAAAATGCAAACAAATAAATTCAAGGGAAAATGAGTTCAAGCAAAGAATGAAAAAGGAAAGGAGAGAAAGATGAATGTTTGAAGTTATATAACAAACATATCAGGTCTGAATTGATGACAGATTCTCCAAAAACTCAAACTTGGAAATTCAAATACGTATCACCGCTTTCTAGGTTAGGTCCAACAGAAATATATGAATATTTACGAACTTAAAAAAAAAGCAATTTTTTTTTCAATTCACTGATTTACCTCTGTTTTGATGCCCACTCAAATATGGCATCATTTACAAACAATTTGTTTGATTCAAAGTGAATTTATTTATAAATGAAAAGAAAAAGCAATGACCAGCCGGCTGATCAAAGCATCAACAGAAACCTTTAACTAAATTTATTCAAATACTAATTATGAGCCTTCTCCAATTACTTTAATTCTGTACATAGCACAAAATAAATAAACACTCATCATCTGAAAAAGTACTTTTGCATCTCTGAAAGGCCCTTGGTAATAAGTGACACTTCTTTGGAAGACAATTTGAAAAACGAAAATTAAAATATAATTTCATGAAGTCAACTGTCAAGTTTGGTAATTTTTGAGACCTTTTTGGCATATGTCAATTTTCTAACAAACACTCAATCAAAAGATAAACTATTTCATGAAAAAATAACGTGCGATTTCAAATTAAGCAAAATACAGTCACGAATACCCAAAGTCTACTTTCACAGAATTTCACAAGGCGGCGGTACGTCAAAAAAGGGACAAGAAAAAAAGTCAGATTTTGCATATGGTTCAGCCAGTTAATACACAAACAAAAGACTGCGTGATCTTTCCCAGGGCTGAGGCTGTTCGCAACACCTCTCTGAAATAGGAACAGTGATATGCATTTGCTGTGCACATTATTAAATACACAAGGTTGAAAGTAACGAACTACACATTTCTTTGTAAAAGTGCATGTATGCTTCTGTGTTTAAGCTCCATGAAATCAGCATGTGATTGGTAAAGCAGCCACAGCAAGCCGCTCGACTTATCCAAGTCTGCTCGGAGCTTTTTACGGCACATATTTACTGACCAATTAAACTTATGTAATTAAAATAAATAGGAAAAGAATCCTAGTCGATATTCACTACACTTATCCTAATTGGTTGCATTCAATCATTAGCACAGATAATAGCTAAAAAAATATTTCTGCACAGACCACCTCATCTACTGTGGCCTTCTCTTGAACAATGGCCATTTCGTTCACCTGAAGTATTCCTCCTTGTGTGACAAGGAATGACACTGTCGAAGAAGAGATGGATGTTTGGGTTTAAGGCAGGCTGACAGTATCGTTCTTGGCAAACAGGTACTGCTTCTCTTGAAGCCATTTGAAGAAGATGACATGCAATGTGGAATAAATCTCTCTGAGAAGATACAAGCCTCCAAGGACGCCCTCTACTGGCAGATCATGAGCAGCCAACCCTAAGTCTTGCTGAACGTGACTCTGATTCCATTCTTCTGGGTTTTCTTTCAAGAACTTTCTCGTCAGGGTACCCTCTAGCTAAGGGTCACATCTCCTGAAAGAGTGGTGCTTTCTTGTTAGATCGCCCTCAACTGCTGGGTCACTGAGAGGTCGCCCTCACTTCTTGCCGATGCCGAAGAGGCCCTTGCCCTTCTTCTTAAAGACATCAGTGGATGAGATCGCCTTTGGGAGAGGTACTTTCTTGCTGGAGGTTTCAAGAATCTTGTGCTGGTAAGCATAGGGCATCGTGGACACCTTACGAGTGACAACTACTTTTTAGAAAGAAAATGAAAGCAGAACCCAAAAGACATCAGGCATTTATCACAAATTTACTTAATCAGACAAAATAAACCAAATACAGCAAAAAAGAAAGAAAATCCTTTTGCACTTTGTCAATGAGTTGATTTTGTTAAAATAAGATGAGTTAATGAAAAATTGAAAATATGTGGTAATGAAAAACTGGTGGCAGCGGTGGGATAGATCACTGACCTGACATATCTTGAGGTTTGCTTGGCTGATCACCAGCCATCACATTCTTCATGGCTGCCTCACGTGACGCTGCTGGTATGCAGAATCCTGAAAAATGTAAAATAAGAAAATATTTTATGATAAGAAAAGACCGTGGGAAACAAACAGGAATGACCATTCAGATGCTATTTTTTTCCTGCCCCCACGACGACATCATGAGGAAACAAGTCTTATGTAGCTCAGACATCATGAGCGTCACTGTGACTACCCGTCCTATATTCTTTCCTTCAAGACTGACCTCCCTTGGCAAACATCTCAAACCTTCACAACTCATCACTCAATTCACCTGTGCGACTTAGCATTGCTAGTCACTTTTTTGTACTTTGTGATTCACTCTTACTCAACAAATAATCTCAAAACTCAGGCTAGCATCAAGTGAGTCTCGTGCCTGCTACTCACCTTTCTCTTGGTCCTTCATGACCGACTCCCGCTCCTTGGCAAACATCTTGAGCCACTCCTGCTTCTCCACTTCCCCCTTGCAGCACAAGATGTGCAGCTTGTTCAGCGACGTGTTGTGGATCTTGAAGGCGTTCTTGACGGTGATGTTCCACTGCAAGTCTGCATGGAACCGAGATGGCACAAAAGAGAGGCTAGACTAGACGTGCATCTCAACGTGACGGCGAACATTCTCTTGTCATCACAAAAACGGGGCGGATATGGAGCACGTTAAAAAAGGGTAAACTTCTGGAAAGAGGAATTAGGAAAAGCCAAGACTTTTTTTACCTTTGCCATCTCGCATATCTGACACTTCGCTCACGTCCAGATCAATCCGTTTCTTATACTGTAATGTTCCCTTCCAATCCTGCAGGAAAAAAAAACATGGTCAGAAAAAACACTGTTTGTCGAGGATATACTGGTTTCACCAAATAACACTGAGGTCACAGGAATGCTTTTCATTTTAATAAACAAAATAACTTCATAGTTTCGATCCTCCACAATAAAATTGTGAATGTTTTTTTTCTACCTTGCCCACAAAGAATGCATGGATTAGCACTGATTTCATCTTTTTCAATAAAGCTTCCTCTGACTTTTTGGAAAAATTTTCTGTTGTCGCATTGTTAGCTGTTTTTCCCACATAATCCCAACTTTCTCATGACGCTTCTTCACCTTTTTGCAGACTACCAGCTGGTGGTCAAATAGGAACGCCCGTCTGCCTGAAGTCCATCGTTTACCAACCAACATGGTGATTTCTCCGGAGTGGATTAACTGGGTGCTTTTCTCGAGCAGATCTTCATCCTGAAGTAAAAAAAAAAAATCAGAAATTTAAGCACTCTTTTTGGGGTTTTTAATTCTCAGTGGAACTGGAGAAATAGATCCGCCGACTTTCTAAGAGAGGTGAATGGGCCGATGCATGATTCCCAACACTGTAATGAATCTTGCCACTGCAACGCAGAAATATGTCAGTTATGAGCCTTGAGCTGGACCAATTTTCCCAGCATCTTAGGCTCCTTTGGTGGGAACTGCACTTTGCTGGTTCACAAACGACTAAGTAAATGCACGTGTTACGGTTGCGTGGCTACCAACAAATGAACACTCCCCACCAGCATGGCTCTTTTCAACCGATGAGGGGGTGCTTCTGCTCAAGCCAGATTACATCCTCCTGAGTGCTTCAAAGAACAAATTCACCATTACCTCCCAGTCTCCGATGGACTTCTGCCAGGCGGCGATCTTCTCGATGTTCTCCACCCGCCGCTTGCGGTCGTTGATGCTGACCGCCACCTCCTTCATCACCTCCAGGGCCTCCCTGAGCTCCTGGTAGTCCGCGTGGTGGGGCCGAGTGTACTTGAGCAACTCTCGCAGCTGCAGTGGGTACTTGCAGATCTTCTGGACGGGCGTCAGGAGGAAGCCCTCCAGGTTGATCTCGATCATGTTCTGGAGGAGGCGGCAGGCCTGTCAGGGAGAGAGAGAAAAAAGTAAGCCTGAACGGGACTCGAACCTTTGACCTCTAGATCGGTATTCTGGTGTTCCACCTACTGAGCTATGGAGCAACATACATTAGTTGTTGTTACTTAGTTTGGCTATAAGGTTTTTTGGGGGTGCTTTGATGATTTATATCTCTATTACGAACAATGACAAAGCAATGGTTGAGGGAGGATTGGAACCTAGGACCAACTGAACACAGCACTATCACTCTACCTTCAGAAATATCCAGATACGTGCGGGTGGTTGGCGACCTTATCAACAGGTTTGCTCAGGCAGGTGCTTTGATCATTCATGACTCCATTACAAACAAAGGAAAAAAAATGACCAAAGCTGGACTCGCACCTGTGACCAATGGAATTCTGTAGTTGGCAGCTAACAATCATGCCACCCATTACTGCACTGATTATTTGCTCAAAACTCTTTGACTGTTCAGAGCTCAATTACACCACAAAAACTGATGGCAGCGGGATTCAAACCTGAGACCGCTGGAATGCTGTGCCAGTGCTCTACTGATCAATATATACAGCCCTATTGTTCAAACCTGAGACCGCTGAAAAGCTGTACTGGTGCTCTTCTAATCAATATATACAGCCCTAAATTGGGGGATTCAAACCTGAGACCACTGGAATGCAGCACCGGTACTCTACTGACGAATATATACAGCCCTAAATTGGAAGTCCCCATGTTGTCATGAGCATGTCCAGAAGTCGCCCTGATCATTCATGCCTCTGTCAATAACAACAGTTTTGAGAGAAGAAATTGTCTTTAGCAGAAGAAGTGCCTTCTGTCTTACCTCAAAGAACTGGTCGTATTTCTGCTTTTCCCGTAATTGTTTAAGCTCGCGCAGGGCGGTTGGGTAGTTGTTGCAGTATTCCGAATACGTCTCAAAGCCACTCCTCTGTAGATAAAAGAGCAGAGTAAAAAACCCACTTCAGGCTAAATTCTCCTTCCCAAAAAATATCAATCAGACATTACAAGAATGCCATTTCAACTTCTTGTTAAACGTTCTCAACTTGCAACTTGTTTCAATTTTCACATACTGCCATCTTTGTCTCAGTACAGATTTTCTCGAAAGTGCGCATTCCACAAAACATTCTTACTTTTGGAGCTTGCTGATAATTTTACTCTAGTTTTGGAGTTTCATCCAAAGACACTCACGTGTTCCAGGAAGCATCCTCCTATCCTGCTCAGCTGGGGCTGGTCCTGGATGATGGAGGCCTCCAGCTGCAGCAGGAAGCCCTTCTGGAAGCTGTAGATCTCCTCAATGTTGCCGAAGAGGTTGTTCATGATCTCCACCGAGAACATCTCAGGCCGGTCTGCGGCCTGCCGGATGTAACCCTGCAAGGGGGGAAAGAATGGGTCAGTTAGAGAATTGGTCAGTTAGAGGACCGTCAGTAGAATTGGTCAGTTGAAGAATTGGTCACTTGGAGAATCGATCAGTTGAGAGAAAAGCCATCTTTCAGGACAGTTGCCAGATTGTTCAAGATTCTCTTAATTTAAAAACTCTCAGAAAGTACTCTTTATACATGAGCGTTACATTTGATTGATACCCTCTATCAAATAGAAATGGATAGAAAATAGAACAAAAGTATAACAAATTCAATCAAAATCTAACCCTTGATGAGCATTGCCAACCAAAAAAGTACAAACAAAACTTGAAAAATGGACAGACAAAAACTTTTTCATGACAAATACAGATATGAAATCTGGCTGTGCAGTGCCAACAAAGAAAAGCGCCCCCTACTGACGGTGCCTAAGCATACACGCTACCTCTCAGTTTCCCTGGCCCCACCCCTCCGCCCTTTATCGTCAAGACGACCCACCTCACACACGTCCCGCAGGTTGTGCACGTAGTCCCGCTCCGTGGTAATGATCTCCTCCACGACCTTTGCCCGGACCTGCTCATTGCTCAGGAAATTCAGGCTGACCTTGCGGGCCTTCTTGGCGGCGGCTGCCGATGCCGCGGCGGCGGGGGCCCTCTTGATCTGCTCCCGTTCCTCCTTCAATCGCTCCATGCACTCCTCCACCGTCTCCCCTTGGCTGACTCTCAACTGTTGAGGACAACAAAATTGGTCTGGAGTCTCACTTGTAGTAGTCGCATGTGAGTGTGGTACCATCACATGAACGGCGTTTGATTCTGCTCGCTAGATTGACCTATAGCATAGAAATGAGGAGCAGAACCAAAGGGGAATCTTTGGCGACACTCACCCTGAGGAACTGGGCAGGTACCCACCCCTCCACCTCCTCCCGGCAGCCCCACCACCAGTTCTTGTCCCTCATGTCCGTCACCTCAATCACGTCACCCGCTTTAAAGGCCAGCTCTGACTCGTCCATGGTCACATGGTCCCACAGGGCCTCGGCAAAGGTGGGCATGGTGTCGGGACTGTATGCCTGTCGACGAGATTTGAAAAAAAGTCAGTTTTTAGTGTTTTTCACCATCTCAACTGAGTAAGCGCAACTTCACAGAGCAAAACTGGACACACAAAACTGAGAAGTGCCGATGAGTTTGTCAATCAGAAACAGGATACCAACCAAAATTCCATGTGAAACCTACGTGGCTGGTTCCCGGTGGCTTTTTGCACAGCACAAAAACTTGATCATACTCCTGCAACCCCTGGGAAATTGGGCCAAAAGAGGAGAAGAGCTCTCTACAAAAAGGAGAGATGCTTATACTGGCTGCAGACCGAGGCTGTGTCCGAATCTGGTATTCAATGGCTAAGGCTTGCTTTTTTGCCAGTGATGCGCAAGGGTGAGTGGCCACAGACATAGCCACAATGCTCACTGCGGACACAGTCTGACTCCAGTTGTACCCACTCCAAAGCTGCAGCAGACTTCTAAGCAACGAAATAACAACCCTAGGGTTTGAGAATCAGTTCACAGGGAAGAGAGGGGCAGAGCAGAAATAAGGCAGCAGGCCTGTAATCGAGTCATTGAAAGCCGACACAAGTTAGTCGCGAGGGTTTTGCCCTTACATTGGCATATATATATCTTACACTGTATGCTCAGTGCTGACCAAGAAGCTCACTCAGGTGGGACTCAAACCCATGACTTCCTGCCTACAAGAGCAGATGTCTTAACCGCTCGATCACTGCGCCTGCCGGGTCAGCTGGCTGGTCCGAGCCAGATGCAGCAGCAGTCGAACCATTTTCAAAGATGTACTTTGTGTCGGTGTGAAGGGCAAAACCCCAAAGTACAAATCAACATCGCCCCAATTCAGAGTACTTCTTTGGATAGACTCCAGACTATTTTCAACTCATCCGGTCTCGAATCAAGAGACCTGTGACGTCCTCTGCTCTGCTGTGTCAAAGGTTGACCCAGAAAGGCTGCGGCATGACTCAAGACTTGACTTGTGACAAATCTGTGACTGACTGAATTACAATTCTCAAATGCTTCTCGTCTCGGAATAACGATCTGCATAAAACAAACCTGAAAACCAAGCAACCCATCACCTGTACCCTCTTTGACTCGGTGAAGGAGGGGGGGGGAATAATTGAAGGGGATAAGAGGTCTCCGAGTACTGCTCTTTACAAATGTGGAACTGCGGCTGCAACTTTGAATATGCTGGTGAAATAAAACGCCAAAAGCACCTGGTGTTTTTGCTCATACCATTGGGGGAAACAAACCCGCTTGCTTTCCACTGTCGTTGGCTTTCTACAAAGGACCAAATTTCAGTGAGCAATTATTACTACAGCAAAAACTGTGAAAGATGCTTCGCCAGATCAGTCAATTACTAATAGTTCCCTGCTGGAATTTTCTGGACTTGAGGGGGTATTTTTACACAATCACCCTTTTGAGGGCAGTCCGATATGGCAACGTCAAAAAAAGCTCTGTCGGAACACTTTTGAAATATCACTGCCCATGCACGACGATTCAAGGATGTTCAGTACCCTCAACAAATGTGAATTCAGTCAACCAAGCATTCCAGACAGCATAATTATTTGCAAACACTAACTCTCTGAACAAAAAAAAGGGTACCCTGCTTTGTGCATCAAGTTGTCACCTTGAAATTCCCTTCCCTGTGTGCTATCGGATCCAGAACAGAATAACATCCGCTAAACCTACCTCTTGGACCACCAAAAGAGGAAAACAAAAGGAAATGAGGCAAAAGAAGATAGGCAGTCACACCTTAGAGCTGCTTCAGAGCATAAGAAGTCTACAGTACACAGAAAAATCACTAAACTCTGTACAGGTATGTTGAGAGTGGGTTGGGTTTGTTTTTTTTTCTGAGAGCACTTATCCACATTTGGGCCTCATTATCAGAGGTCATATTCATGTCATGTTCTGTATACCAGCAAGCCTTCAAGCCCCGAGTTCCCTCTACAATATGAGATCCCAGCCATTCCGGTCACTCCTACTGCATTGGAGAGGGCGTACCACTGCTAGTACTGACCTCAAAGTTGTACTGGTCTCCAAACGTCGACAAGACCTCTCCAACTTCCGTCCCGATGACTGGAAAGGAATCAAATCGACGGGGTGTCAGCAGAAATAGTTAATGAGGGTACCAATACATGCAAACGCCTGCTGACATCGGCTGAGCTTACCTGACCATTCTGGCCGGAAAAATGACAAGAGCAGTATCAGTTGTCCGATACAATTGGCTTAGTGAACATAGCTCTATCCATTTTTTTAAGTACGAGTAATTTTGTTGAAGCAGGGGGTATATGGATGGTGCAGCATGCTACACATAAATATATCGTAACAGGTGATTTGGATTTAAACCTTACTGATTTGCATATACACCAGCTTGGGGTCAGGAAAGACTCTCCCTCAAAGGGATCACCGTCCTCTGAATGGAATCTCCCAAAGCCATTGGGAATTGTAACAGCTTTCGTGTAGATTTGTGTCTTTTTGATACATTATGCAAATAATCTGGTTCCACAGAAGTGAGGAAAACGTGCCAAATAAACGACCTACATGTATGTTATCAACGTACCATATGTTCATTTGAACTGTACTTATTGGTGAGAATGAATTTAATTGGTTGACATTTAGGCACGATAACAAAGGTGAAAGCATTTTACTCCACTTTTGATGTACCATTGTAGCATCAAAGACAAACGGCTAGTGTACATTTTTGAGGTGAAGTGTGGAGACAGAACTTACGGTCTGCCAGGGAGTTCTTCCTGGGCGGGGCTTTTGATCCCTCCCTGTCCAGGAGCGACAGGTGATCTGGGATGCTCTTGGGCCGAGCCAGGGTCCCGTTCTTCTCCGTGTCCCTCTCCTCTGTAATGGCAGGAGGGACGGGCGAGACAACCTCCTCTCGGCTCCTCTTGTTGGCGCTGGAGAGGTCGGACTGGGCGCGGCGCCTCAGTTGCTTCCGGGCGGGGCCGGGTGTGTCTGGAAAAGTTTGGTGGCAAGGCGTGGCGAATGGACAGTAAACTGTGCAACGTTGAAAACTGCACACGAATTCTTCGTCTTGAAAAGCACACCGGCAAAAGGTTGGATTTGTTGGGATTGAATTCATTGGAATATGGAGACGAAATTGCTTAGAACAACTTTGCTCAGATTAGTTGGACTGGGTTTGAATAACCGCTGAAAATTAACTAGGCTGATTCGAAGTTGACTGGGTACATCCAATTCAAGAGGATTTCAATGAAATAATTTGCACAGAATTAGGTTTGTACTGCTTTGATATGGACTGGTCTGATTTCGCTTAGAATTTGACTGAAAATGATTGACTTAATATGACTTGACCAGTTTATTAGTTTTGATAGATAACGCAAGATATCTGTATTGTTTCTTATCCACTCTTTTAATATGCAACGACGTAATGGACTTGTTGCTCACATCAGGTGCAACTAACAAGATAAGTCTGACAAACTGTAAAGAGATGATTATTTCTACAAAGTATTTTTGGGGATATACGTGACCGGCTCTAGAAAAACGGGTAACAAGTCGCCAGATTCAGGTTATGAGCTTTTGATAGGGCTCGATTCTGTACATCAAAGCTACAATTTGATATAGGAATGACCCCTGTAGTGCGCTGCGTTTTGGAGATATATAGACATTTGTATATCCACATTTTCGGATTAAATAAAAGCACTTTTCGAGAAAGCTCAGTAAGTGTAGCACTTGGAAACAAAATGCTATGCAGGATTTCCTGATCAATGATCCATTTTTCATTTTTATTCATCAGTATCCATGTTTGTAGTCACAAATTCCGAAAATATAAATATTATAGCAGCTATTAAAGGAAAAAACACAAAATCACATTTTTGAAGAGATTTTGCCCTCTCCAAATAGAACAGGCCATTACGTGTTTTGGCAATGCACGACTTATTACCCTTTTTTGTAGAGCGGGTCACTATTTCCTCCAGTCTGTATAAAGATGCCTACCTGCGTTTTCCTCCTCGATCTCCTTCACCACGCCAGCGATGGTCTTCGTGTCCACGGGGTCCGTCTTGACCCGGCGGGGCAGATGCAGGGGCTTGGGAAGGCGCCTCAGGTCCTCTTCCATGGCTTTCTTGGTCAGGTCTTCGTCCAGGGAGAAGGTGACCTTCTTTGGGGAGGTGACGCTATCTGGGGTTTCTGGGCCAGCACACTGGAACCCTACCGGGAGGCTGAGCTGGGAGACCATAGAACGCCTTGGTCCTTTGGTGGAAAGACAGAGAATTACTATAAATTCCAGGAGAGGACTTCCTTATGATAACATTTAGAGAGGATATCCTAGCGAGGACATGGATATACTCTCGAGGACCTGGTCTATCTCAATCTGTTATCTTGCACTTTCCGATGAGATTATCAAAACTGGTCATTAAAATTTTTTCTTCCTCTGTAAAAAAAAGGACTAGAAAATTCTGAACTTCATATCGGATTCCACTTCCAATGATTTTACGTCGGGAACTTTCTGGCTGTAAACCTGACTCACTTCCAGTCCCAGATTCCCTTCGACCAATCGAGACAGCTGATAACTTCCGCTCCTCAAGTAGGCCCCCGTTGGCCACGGCCTGACTGTCCACTGACCCTTTCTCCCACTGTAGGTCCAAAAGGTCAGAGGACAAAGGTCGAGATGGTGGGTTGCTACTGCCCAGGGACGAGCAGGGACTACAGAAGTTGCTGCTGGATGTGTCACTATCACCCTGCAGGAATTGATAAAACATGAAGCTTCGCGATTATTCCAATCTGGAAGAGTCAGGTTGATGGTAATTTCCCTGCCATCCACCTCGGCGACCTGGGTTTGATTCCCAACTCGGTCTACCTCTGGATTGGGTCTTCAGTCCCTGTCTGATTTTGTATGTCTTTGCCATGAATATTCTGGGGTTTTCCTCCCAGCTCTGAAAACTGTAACTGCTTCTCAAAAAGCCTTGTTTTGTCAGGCTGACAAGCTACAGTGCCTGGAAGGCTATGGGAAATCTTTGGTTTCATTATCAAAAGTGCTGAATAATGATAAAAAGTTGTCCTTACCGCCAGAAAGGTCTCTTCTGTCCCCCTGTCTTTGACGATCCCGCTGTCCACGCTGCTCCCTGGGATGGTCTCTGAGCTCAACTGCAAGGCCACCAGGTGGGCGTTCTCCATGGGTGACAGGCCCCGCTTGCGCTGCCGAATTGGGGCCCGTAGGGAGCTGCAGCGCTGGAAGCTGGACCGGCCTGGCCGCCGGTCGTCCCCAGCCTCATCCTCTGCATCCCTAGCCTTGCGGGAGGGCGTGCCGTGCCAGGTCTTTCGCAGGGCCGTGTCCTTGCTCATGGGGACAGGCCACAGGGCAACTAGGGGGTCCTGAGGTGGCTCGGGCGTGTCCTTGTGAATGTAGGCATCGTCGGTGAGATGCAACGGAGATGCCTTCCTTGGAGTTGAGGAGCTATCATTTTCCTCCTTCTCCTCCTCTCCATCTTTCTTCTTTAAACCTTGCAGAGGCAGCTCTGGGTCTAATTTCACAATCTCGGGCCTAGCCTTGGTTTTGGACTGGCCTTTTTTCCTGCTCCATTGCTTGATCCTGGACAGGATGACCTTGGGAGAAACCATCTTCTCTTTAATATCCTCGTCGTCTTTTAGAGAAGTCCTCTTCATCGCAGGAAGTGTCGACGACTTTTCTTTGTCTGACATCGGCATATTGTTTGGCAAATTGTTCGGTGGGCTTGCTGATGACTCGTCAACATTTGTTTGGAACTGCGCGACCGACTTCCACAACCGCATGCCCGGGAAACTAGTCCTGGGGCTGGTGGATGAGCCCGGGAGGGAAGCCAAACTGCCCCGGCTGCTGGACCTCCTCAGACCCTTGGAAAGGTGGCTTGGGGTGGGCGGGGTGCCTGGGGGAGAAGGCTGCGTCAACTGCATCAGCTCCTGGTTGAGCTGGCTGATCTGTGACACCATCTGGAGCTCCGAGGTCTTTTCCGCAGAGGCAGCGTGCTCTGCCTGGAGGTCTAGCAGACCCTCGCTCAGTGCGATGGCCATGCTCTTCTTCCTCCGATGGAAGGCTTGCAAGGAATCCCCAAGGGAAGCATCAGCACCTTTCTGTCCAGCCGGCTCCCCATTTGTCTCAGTCTTGACTGGCACTGTGAGGGTCTGGCCAGTCGTCCTACTCTTGGGAGGGGTGGCTGGGGGAACTTCGCTGATGCCAGGGCTGGAAGGACTCACAGAGGATTTGGTCTCCCTGTCCCGTTCTATGCGCAATCGAGTCTTGTGGCCGACGTCGTCCAACTTTCGCCGATTGTCCTTCACGCTTTCAGGGCCAGAGCCCGACCGTGTGCGGTTCAGCTTCGGCCAGTTATTATTTGTGGGAGAGGGTGGGATGGGGCTCCTGCTCCCGGAGTGGGTATCCTTGATGCTGCTGCGGCTTTGCAAGCCTGTTGTTTCCAAGTTCGCCCTGTTCTGGTCAAGGTCCGGGTCAACGCTTAGCTGCTGCTTGAGAGACAGTCGCTTCCCGATGCCCGTCGACATGGCAACCGCATCACGCATGTTGGTCTCTCGGTGGTAGACTGTCGGTCCGCTCGGGGATGTCCCGGGAGGGTCCGTCTCCTGGCCAGCTGAGCCAAACTGGAAGGAGCTCCGAGCGTTGGGGTCTAGCTTCCAGATGTCACCTGCGTCATCGTCTGTACTTTCCGCCTTCTGACGCTCGGCATAGACTGACTCGAGCTTGGACTTCAGCTCATCGGAAGGCAGGACCCAGGGGGAGAAGATTGGGACGGGGGCCGTCTTGGTGGCCCTGGAGGACTCCTTGCCATTATCTGTCAAAATGCAGTCAACGGCTTCACTCTCATCCTTCTCCTTGTCTTCGTCGTCAAGGTTGGATTGGTGATTTGTGATGAATTCTAGCAGTGATAGGGGACTTGCAGATTCATTCTCGTTGCATTCCTATGAAACAAAAAATACAGAAAATCATTTGTGAAATTCATCACTGCAGATATAATGTTTGAGCAACAAGATCTGTTGTATTTTGACACGCGAATCCACTCTGTGATGCCTCAAATTTGTGATACCAACTGTCAAAGGTTTTGTACACGTGGTAGTTTCCATTTCAAAAACAAGTTCCACGATTGGGAGTTGATAACTGAGAGGTTCAATCTGATAAGAAGCCATGGACTGGTCCAGCCAAATCCATCAAGAGTTTGGAAGCTCTCTGATCAAACTTACAACAAACGTGAGATGCAGAAAGTGGCTGTTTTCACGCAGGAGTGCAAAGTTTGCACGACCTTATAAATGCCGTTCTTCAAGAGTTGATCATGGCAAATACAATTCCCTTGCGGTAACAGACACCAAAAGACAATCCTTGAATATTTGTACTCGGTCTCACCATCAATTCATGCTGAAAGCACAAGCTGGGGCTATCATGAGGGAAACTTACATAAAAGAACAATTCAAATTTGTTACTGATTAAAACGGTCCCCTTTTGTGCCGGTCGTAACTGTTACCTTTACACTTTTCCTATCCACGGCCGTAAACCAAGTACAACGAATCGGATCAAAGGAAAACACAATCTGCAAGGAATGCGGGGTGGTGAAAGAGCCGGGATTAAAATCAGGCAGCAGAAAAAAAACTGCCTTTGTCTTCGAGTGAGGTTATAACAACACCGCCTTGTGGTGCCAAATTTCCCTCTGAGAGGAACAGAAAAGAATGCACTCCTCACTGTTCGCTTCTCCATTCACCTGGGTGTTTGTAATCAATATTTTCACTGGAGCCACAGTGGTGTAAGTAAACTCCCTTTACACGTCGAGCGGCCATTGTGCCCCTGTTGCTCCTCCGTGTTGTCCAGCAAGGCCAGAGCGGGAGAAAGACCAGGCGGGTGCCGGGGCCATGGTGACCGAAAGGGCCAAGAGGGGTCACTTAGGACATCCCGGCAGAGATTTTTGAACATTGGACTTCAGTTTTCGGATTAAATTTTTTCCTACATCTTTCATTCAGAAATATGTGTGGGTGACTCCCGAGTGGATCACAGTTGGGCACAATACCCAATAAATCATTCAACCTCTTTTGGTTCAATTTCATTTCCTTAGATTTGCATTTATCCCTCCAGTAACATCTCAACAGGTGTCTATAGATATTTGCACTGTGCTGTGTACATGCTGTTGTCTTGTTTTTTTTCCTAGTGCGTTACATGAAACGCTCATGCTTCATGCACAGATGCACATGCTTCAACAAGTGCATGTAAAGGACATGCGCAAATTGGAGATGCATAGAAATCAATTTTTAAAAACAGCAAACTACATGTACACTGTAACAACGGGAAGTCTTGGGACAAGTTGTAACATGGAGCATGCATCTGTAGCGTGGACTTGAACGGCCAAACCGGTTCAATGCCGATCCAAATGCCTTTCTGCATCTGCCAACAACAATTTGTGCAGTCCAGTGTGAAGTGCTACTTGTCACAGATGAATTAAAGTAACCCCCCCCAGAAAAGAAGAATTAAGCCTGGAAACAGTTTTACAATTGTGTACAAAACCTACACTGTTGTGTTTTTTGTGGTGTGGACACAACACAGCGTAAACGGCCGGGCAGCTCAGCAAGGCCTGTTGTTGTGAAACTGCCAACCATAATTTGGCCATCAGATCAAATCTGAAGTGCCCAGGAAGCACTGGAATGCAGTAATAGGCTTGACAACCCACTGACAAATTGAATTAGAACAGAGAATTCCCTTAGGGGCTGGCGAAGTTAGTTTGTGGAAGTGTACAGGCAGTGGTTATAGAATGGAGCTTGTTTGGCCATTAACTTAATGGTTTCCTCTGCAGGAATACAGTTCTCCTAACAATAACAAGAATTACCAAATGATTTCCGACATTCCTGCAATCCAAGCATTGGTACCATTATTTTCAGTGACATTGGAATCATCTAGAAAAAAACGCACCAACAGGTTGCAAGTCAAAAACCAAACTATTCTGCCACGAATGACCTCCCGTCTCCTCAGTACACGAAGTAGAACTCTATTACATCATGAGGGAAAGACTATGGTAGATTTATGTCACTGAAAGATGTAGCATTATACAGTACATGTACGCCCATACGCACAAAGAACTTCCTCCCTACAGTCACACTTCCACGGCTTTCCATTAATCATCACCTTCTTGGCCGACAAGCCTTTGATATGTCTTCCTACGATCAAGAAAAATCATTATTTTGATTTTACATCGCACTCATGCGGGTGTTTAAAGTACCACCAAACCTCTTAGCTTCTCTATGTACCCTTTTTTTTTCTAAGGGTACCTTTTTTTTTTCTAAGGGTACAACACTCTCTCCACTTCTTTCTTTCAAGTGTCATTGACATCCATTTAATCTTTCGCATGACTGGGTGTGCCACTTGAGGAATCTTTCCCAATCCATCTGGGACGGAATCTCTAAAAAAATTGACGCAGAAGTGACGGTGGGGAAGAAGGGGGGGAGGTGGTTAACACAGTCAGCTGGAAATGTCACTGAACTCTTCCACAGTGCGACCCGCCGCGGGCTCCGACACAAAAAGCAGGGCAAAGTTTCAAGTCGTGTCTCGACGGTAAACCTTCATTCATGCACAAGTGCATGTTTCTCAAAGAGGACAGAGAGCATTTTGCCAGGAATAATTTGTATGGGTACGGGGAAGCCAAGATGAGGACACGGTCCCACCAGAAAGGTTTCGATCTTCAACATTACTGTAGTGAGTGGTTGCAGTACCAAACCCAGCCTGAGTGCAGTCCTCATGTTGACAGAACGGGCCACATTCCTGCAGGTGTTGCAGGCCTGCATTTCGGTAGAACGTGACCAAAAAAGCCTCACCAATGCCCCTGGGCCGTGTGTTATCTTTTCATCACCTAATCTAATTTTCATCCCGAGTGTAGGGTGTACATTTGTAAATCCCAGACTGCCATGGACAGGTATTAAAAAAACTGGTTGTAGTCACAGTGTTCAGGCACTGGGACGTCTAGCAACGTCTGTGAAAACCTTGTTCAGCGCAAGCCAAATGGAACTTTTTTTTTGCAGGAATACCAACAGGGATGCTAAAATGCAAATGATGTGTAAGGTGCTGAGGCAAATGTACTTTTAATGCTAGTACATGTAAATGGGTCATTCCTTGAGGTTGGGGCACAATTTGTGATGGTGTCCTTGTTGCAACCAAAACTTTTACCACCTGTCACGACCTGTAGAGTAGGTCATTTACTCTGTAAAAATAACACACACCTCTGTATTCAGCCTCGCAAGATGTATAGCAATGTCAATTTGGAATCCACATGCAGGAAAATAACTGTTCATTTTTACGGAACCCATGTAACAATGGACACCGTCACAAATTGTGCGCCAACCTCATGGAATGACCCAAA